AGAGACTCCATGCCCTACACCAATGCTGTCATCCATGAGGTGCTGAGACTAGGCAACATCATCCCCTTGAATGTTCCCAGGGAAGTGTCAGTTGACACCAAGTTGGGTGGATTTAACTTGCCAAAGGTAACCACTTTCCCAGCCTCTGATCCTCCAGTTTATCTCTGCCATCATCTTGGGCACCTGAACTTAAAAACTGATGTGAATTCCTGACCTAAGAAATCATTTCAATGGGAAAAAAAGTTTATTTTTTGCAAAACCTGTCAGGTGTATTAGTAAATATTCAAATCTATTATGAGGAGTTTAGAAGGGAAGATTAGATGTATTCGTGCCAGACCTGGTTTTGTTTGCTAAGGGGTGCCTCAGCATTTTTCTGTTCTAAGGATGGCAAAGAACCTTTGCTGCTCAAGCAGAGAGCTCTCCTTGTGTTTACTGTTCCCTTTACAATTGATCAATTCATGGCTTGAAGTTTGGTCTGAAATTTTCCAATGCTCTTTGCAGTTTTCTATCCATTCACTTAACTTCAAATAGCTAAACTACCCTTTTCCACAGAATATATCATTAACTCTCTAGATACTAAAAAGTATACTTGACTATGTTGAAGGAGGCAGAGAACCATGGCCTTGAAGCAGATAGGCCTATTTCAGTGCTGATTTCACTTTCTACTACAGTACAGGCACATTGCCTACACAATTACAGCTTCAGCTTCTGCAAAATTCATTCAACCCAATTCATAGACTCTATATGGAAAAAATAGATTACATATACATAACCTTTAGAAATTATTATTAATTAATCAAGGTAATGTTTATTAAATGCCCACAAAGTTTGAGTCTGGACTATGGATACCTGAATAATAGGAGACCCTGGATATAATCTATGAGAACTACTAGCAAGAGATAATTCTGTTTCTCTGCAATGCTGACAAGTTGGAGTGAGGAGCAACTGCTAAAAAGCATCAGTGGTGCTTCTGGAGGAAGAGATATTGGAGCTGAGAACTCAAGAAGAGTTAAGAATTAACCATATGCCAAAATGGTAATGGGTGTTCCTTTCAAAACAAGAAGCGTAAGAACATGGCCTGGTTGAGATCACAAATGAAGTCTACTATGGTGGGAGACTAGTGAGAAGGGAACAATAAAGATTGACTCTGGTGGGACACAGGATGAGTCTTTGATTTAAGAGTATGAGAAGCCTGTTTTTCAAGTTTGAATGAATGGATGGGCAATGTAACTAAGCCATATGCACAGCCCATTCAGCATTCAAACTGGGAAACAGAATCATAGATATTGACTGGTTGCAAGTGTCTAGAGGGAAAGGCTGGCAGTCTACACTAATGTTGCAGTGGGAAACTGGAATGGAGGTGAGGGAATCAAGAGACATTTGAAGAGTGCACCAGCTTTGCTGATGATTAAGCAACAATATGGAATAGCTCACTTTGGTAACTCTGGATATTGGGCCATGCATGTAACTAGATAGGGATGCTTTTTGATACATCTCTGGGTCTTTGAGTAACTATAGTGAGATAGGGTGTGATCTCTTTGATAATGTATGGAAAATAATGGAGAATCAGAAATGAAGGAGATATCCTATCATACAGCTGCTATGATCTTAATTGAGCAGCAAGTTCATTATCTTCCCATGGATCCTTTTAGATCATCTTATCAGACTTATACTTACCACTTTAGTCTACCCACACTTGTAAAGGGGTGAAATATATCGGGGAATAGCAAATCAGTTGAATAGAGTGGGAAAGTTTAGGTTGCCAAGTATCTCACACTATGAAGCTTGAGAATCCTCAGGGCAGTGGTGGTGCATGCTTTTAATCTTGGCACTTGGGAGGCAGAGGCATATTTCTGAGTTCAAGGCCAGCCTGGTCTATAGAGTGAGTTCCCAGACAGCCAGTGCTAGAGAGAAAGGGGGAGAGAGAGAGAGAGAGAGAGAGAGAGAGAGAGAGAGAGAGAGAGAGAGAGAGAGCGCGAGAGAGCGCACTTGAGAATCACCTGTCAGTGTGGGAGTCTTCATTAAGTCTTTACTTTATGTTGTCATTTCTAGGGCATCATGATTCTATCCAACCTAACTGCACTGCACAGGGACCCTAAAGAGTGGACCACACCAGATACCTTCAATCCAGAGCACTTTTTGGAAAACGGACAGTTTAAGAAGAGGGAATCCTTTCTGCCATTCTCAACGGGTGAGTTGTGACATCCAAAAGAGAATTCAAAACTCCTGTGTGTATTTTCTGTCCTCTATTCACTATAATTCTGTGTTCTAGTTGGAATGTCTCCAGATGAACATGTCCATTGTGAATCAATCTTTGTTTTTTATTTTTTTAATTAAAAATTTTCTATAATATATCATGATCACAATGTCCTCTTTCCCAATTTCTCAAATGTTCTACCTACCTTCTCAACTACTCTATAACCCTTTCTTCACTTTACCATCTTTAGAAAATAAGAAAACAAGCAAACACAGACACACAGACACACAGACACAGACACACACACACACACACACACACACACACAGAGAGAGAGAGAGAGAGAGAGAATTGAAAACAAAAATAAAAGAAACACACTCACTGAGACACACACAAAGAATTTAAGAAAGAACAAAAGAAACACACACTCACATATGTACATACACAATAAAATCCATAAAAAGAGGAAACCATAATTATACAAGCAAAGCACTTATACACGGCAAAGATAAGCAAGATCACCAAAAATATAGCCTAAACAATGCAATATGAAACAAAATGTTACAAAAATACCATTGATTTTATTCTGACTTGGCCATCTGTTGTTGGCATGGAACCTACCCAGCACATCAGTACTGTTGTCTGGAAGACATTGTTTCCTTGGAGTCATTCATCCCTTTGAGCTCCTGTAATCTTTCCACCTCCTCTTCTACATAGTGCCCTGAGCCTTGAAGGTAGGGATGTGATGAAGACATTCCATTTAGGACTGTTCCAAAAATATTTTAGTCTTTACACTCTGACCAGTTGTGAGTTTCTATGTCAGTTCCCATCTACTACATTAGGAAGCTTCACTTATGATGGCTAAGCAAGGCACTTACCTCTAGGGATAACAGAATATCATCAGGAGTCATTTTATTGCTGTGTTCTTTTAGCAGAATTTTAATAGTATTTGGTTTTTCTTATAGGCCTGTGGCCTATTTAGTCTACTGTTCATGGCTACCCAAGAAGTGTCAGGAATGCCTTCCTGACATGGAGTGGGCCTTAAATGCAGTAAGGTAGTG